ATGCACCCATCGGCGCAATCTCGGAGAATCCTCGCATCCTCGGGTTCCCTTCGGCCTCCACGGGGTAGGGACGTGGCCGAGACACGTCTCCGTGTCTCTGGCGTCTCCGTGGCACGTTCCGCCCACCAAACCACCCCACCGCTCGATTCACTGGAGGGGCGAGAAGACGAAGATGACATGAGGCGGTTTTTGGCATCCGAGTTTGTTGTCATGTGACAACCACCGACCCCTCCGAGAAACACACATTTCATCTTTTGATCCGCACAACAACTTTCTCCAACACACATGGCAGAAATCTGGATGACGATACTTTATAAGATAACCTTCCCAGACGTGGATGGTGATTTCCGCCTTTTGTCTGGGGCGTTTCATCAGTCTACACACCAGACGGACTGGTGCCCGTTTTGCAGGTGGTGGAGTTCAACCAATCCATCAAGGAGCCCTTGCTCCGCCGTGGGGTGAAATTCAGCTTCTCGGCGCGCACGGCCGACGCGCCGGCCGACGCAGCCGGCCGAAGCCGGGCAGTTGGAAGTCAGGGGGCGATGGGGGGCAGTCAAGGGGGTGGGGTATCTGGAATCGACCGACAGCAGAGAAGTGGAAAGACTGAAGGAACTCGACATGGATGCAACCATCGGCTGGAGGGATGAGCAAAACTTGACCTTTTCCTGAAAGTTGGAATAGGATTCCTCTGCTTCAAACTAGAGCGATCAACATCGGGTCCTTCGTGCCATGACGTTCCAAGCTTGGCTAGCTTGGAAGTCCAGGGAGATGCTGATATACGTGGATCTTGCATTTAGTCCAGAGCATATGACAATGTGAGGCAATCCGATCCACCATTGATTCGATCGCCTTTACCGAACAGGTTTATAGTACAAATGTTACATCAGCAAGACTTTCAGTGGTCTCTGAAGGCTAGGGTTACAATACCAGGTTCATCCAGGTTCCATGGTCACATCAGGATCCTCCTTTGAAGCTAGGGGATTCCGCAGAGGTCTTCACCTGACCAGAGACCTGGTGAGTGGGTGGTGAAATCCTCAGTCTTTGGACTTCAGTCAACCCTGGCTTCCAGGGTTGGTGGCTGGTCGACACTCACCAACCCTGTATTTTTACAATCCAATCACCACCCGGAAATCCAGTGCTGGCTGTGAGGTTTCGAGGTCGAATTCATTTTTCTGGGCATTGGGTGACACCTGATGGCACTCAAACCACCAATTGGTGGAACTAAGAACACTCACCGATGGACAGTCTGCCCATGAACGGCGCTTTGGCGGCGCAGAACTCTGCGCAGTCGGTTTGGTCTTCAGGCTATGGCGATTTCTCCTCTGCCGATGTCTTGGAGCATTGCTTCCACGGGGAGCCCAAGATCATCATCTCCACCACCCCGGACACGATGCTCCAGGGCACCACCAACATGAGGATCTTAAAGGCGCCGTCCACGCCGCTCCGCGAGTCGTTCCGTTTCGACCCCCGCGAGTCGTTCCGTGCGCCGTTTGGCGAGGTTGCGCCGGGTCCACCGTTTCGTGGGTTGGGGCTTGGACCGCTTTTCCAGCGCGCGGTGCTCCGGCTTGGACCGGCCCTGCGTGCTGGGGTCTCCTGAAGTGGGTGTAGCGACCGTCCCCGCCCCGAACCGTGCTGTGCCGGGCCCTGCGGCCTCTCCAGGTCGCCATGAGCGTGTGGCCGAAGGCACACATCATCGTCACGGCCGACAACCCTGAGCAGGCGCGAGCCGCGAACGAGGGGGGATGTGTTGGTGCGGTGCAACAGTTCTTCTTTTTCGGGTCAACAGGGGTGTGCTGGCTGGTAGAGGCTACTAGTCATGGTGAAGTGTGGGCCCAAGGAGGACGACGTCCTGACAACGCTCGGGGTAGTGAAGTTCATGGTGTTTTGCTATTCTTTTCATTTCTTTTCTTTGTGTGGTTTTCTTTCATTTGGGCGCTACGATACGGATGCTTTGGGCTAAAGCAATCGTGAGTTTGTTCCAGAGGAACGGCTAAAGCAACATTGGATGGAACCCTCTCAGACAGAGGATGTCTTGTATCCGACTAGCCACACTGGCCCGGTTGGCCGGTTGGCCAAGCACACGGCCAACCACATCCCACCAGGACCCCTCTTGAGCCCAACAATAACAATGCTGCCAAGATCCAAATCAAGATCATTGTGAGATATCCATATTCCGAAGTTGGGTCTCCTTTTTTTGGTTTCCATCTTGTTCCACTTCTTTCCATCCTGTTTCTGGGCACTGAGCCTCACTTGTCAAGAACCACTCATTTGAACCACCCAGCCCACTGATATCCTGACTTCGGAGCCCTCCCATCCTCTGATCACATCCTCTGATTGGATCCGGGCGCGGGCGTCCTACCCCGTCCTGTAGGCCTCGGAGCTCTACGAGGCGGGTGCACACTACGTTCTTCGATCGGTCCCTGGGCTGCGGAGACGGACATGGGGGTCGTGTGGGCGAGGCTGGCACCTCAAGTTTAAAGGGTCTGAGCTGGAAAGGCTGGTTTTAGAGTGGGTAGACTTCAAGTCTGGTTTGTGGATTTGGTGTCTGAGAGGTGGTAGTTCTCTTGGATTGTGTTCGTTTTGGTTGAGCATCTAGCGAAAACTATTCAGTTGAACTCGGCGGACAGAATTGGTTGGTGGAGTGCCCCAGTGTGTGCCTGTGGGGGTCCTTGAATGGAGGTTGTTTCGGTCGAGGTTTTTATTGGGTGACGAGGAATATCCTCATCCGGCATGTTTAGGTATGGAAGTGTTGGTCTTTGAGATGCTTCACGCAGATTTGATCACTTTTGGGCCTGTGACACTTGGGATCGATCCTGTTTTGAACATCATGTTAAGATTATGTGGATCCTCCAGAATCCTCCAGACTGCATGCATAAGTTTCCTCCACTGGTGTCCACATTGGAGAACACCTTGCCAAAGGGTGCTTGCGCACGGCTTCCGGCGTCGTTTTGGGGTGTACCATTTTGATCCCTCGGACTCCGTTGGTTCGACGGTGCTGTGGGGACGGGAACCAACATGAAGGGCAGCCCCGCCTGGGTAGGCTCCTAAGCCTGAGGAACCTGGGTAGGCTTATATACGCAAAATATCGCAAAATGGTCCAGGCTCCCAAGTTCTCTTTGGTGAAAAGTGCCAGGCTTTATCGATCCATCCGATGCCAAAAAGCAGGGCTGATAAACCCCTCTGAAACCAACGAGTCGGCAAGTGATGTGTTTTCCAGCCAGCCTACATTTTTGGAGGGTTTTAGCATGAGCAGGACCTTCCTCCCCAAATATCCCGGTGTCTCCAAACAACTGCCTGCCTGCCCCGTCGTGGCTTTCTTTCCGCTTCTCCCGCTCCGGTGAACCCTGAGGCCAAGCTCTGCGCCGAGCGGCTGTTCGAGCTCTTGAACAAGTACCAGACGGACGCCGGCATGTCGGACTTGAAAAGGCGCTTCGACAAGTACAAGCGACGGGAGAACGACGACAAGAGGAACTTCGTGGCACTCAAGGTCTGAGACGATGCGCTTGCCGCCATGCAGAATTCCTTCCCCCCCCCCGAGCTGGTTGGTGGGGTGTGTGAACGGAGAAGTACGAACACCAGCAGTGTGGTTGGAGCGGTTGCTTGCAACAAATGCCGAAATCGGTGCAGGTGAGTGCATCGGGGGGAAGGGATCAATGAATACCGGAAAGTTGTGTCCTTTTACTCCTCATGGGTGTGCTCGAATGTGTTTTCATCAAGCTGGACATTGTTCCTTGGTTCAAGAATGGCAGGTTTTGAAGGACTTCCATAATAGCCGAATTCAGAGGAACGACCAAGAAGTTCCTCGCCATCTAGCCACCGCGCCACGCCTCAAGGCGTCTCAGGCGCCTCAGGAGAAAGTCAACTCCTTTTGTTCGAAAGTGGATGCTGGAGAAAAGTCACCATTGGAAGCAGGAGGAGTGGTTTGTAGTACTAGCTAGGGAATGGGCCGGGTGTCCAATAAACGTCCTGGCCGATATCGTTCCAACAAACTAACGAAAGTTTGAGCCATGGGACATCATGGGAGGCCCCCTGGCCTGTACCATTGACGTTCTTTCGTTCTTTGGGGTCTATTGTGCTGGAGAGTCCATGTCTGTCCAGTGTGAACGGTTCCGACCCGATGAGGTTTTCGTTCTCCACCTGGGTCCCTTGGGACCCTCCTGATCTTCATGGAAGAGTTGGCTGAAGTCCGTGCCATCCACCCTCGGCATCTGATTTTCAAGCAGTTCAACCCTTCAACCAATCAGATCATATAACTGAGTTGATTCACCCTGAAAAGCCCTGGGTCATGATGGGTCATTGTTTGTTTTTGGATGGATTCTGAGCTGAAAGAGAATGAAAAAGAACCTCTCTCTCATTTTTTTGGTTTGTTTTTCTTCTGTAGAGCACCCCGTTCCGTTTCAACACTTGCCAGTGGCTTCACTGGTTTGGTCGGGGCATCAAGTCGCAACTCCAGTGAGTCGGCTCCGTGGGTCTTCAGAGTCGATGGGCGGTCCTATGGCATCATCAAAACCATTCCTGGGGGGGGCGGTCCCTCTACTCCCCATCCACCACTACTACTACTACTACTATTACTATTACCATTACTACTACCACTACTACTACTACTGCTACTACTACTGCTACTACTACCATTACTACTGCTATTACTACTACTAGGTACTACGACTACCACTACTGCTACTACATTGAAAGAAACCGATGGCACGGGGCATTCGATGTTCATCCACGAAGTCAACAAACAGAACTCTGATGACCGAAGCTTTAGCTATAAATTCTACTTATTCAAGTTGACTAGGCGGTTCGCTTAGAAGTCCTTTTTCCTCGACAGTTCGGCTGCTCTGGATTGGACACTTCTGAATGAACGTTGGTCAAAAAGGATTCGAGAGACCTTGGTAACGGGCGTCCACAAGTGGAAGAGTAGTGCTGGGCATTTTCCATGCCTCCGCAGTCTTTCCAATGCCGAAGTCTTCCCTTGCGGCGTTTTTTTCTTTTCCATGCAGGTCATTACAACAACAGGGCAGAGACCTCAATGGGTTGAGGATTGGGAGGGGCATTCTGTCAAGAATAGGTGAAGGTTTTGTGTTTGAAGGTCACCAAGAATAGAAGTCTGCAGTGGAGGGGTTGCAGGAGTTTGTTGACCCCGGCCTTTAGTTCGACCAGGAAAAACGAGGTCGGCTTTTCCACTGATTGTGTCGTTTACGAATTGGTTCGTAGAACTTATGATTCTTCGGCTCTTCAGGCGATTTAACATGATTTAACCAATGGCGGACCACGAATCCGGTTGACCAACCAGCCATTGTTCTGGCCATTTTGGGAATCAGAGATCAGAGATCAGGTGCTGCAGCTTCGATTTGAGACTGATGCACCACCCTGTTGGAGAGGGAAGACTGCAAATGGGTTCATCCTCTCAAGTAGATGGATCAGGAGAGAGTCTCTTCTTTGAAAATAAGAGTACCATGTTACCATATGTTATCACGCCGTTCTTGTTATTTGGACATGGCTCACCAACAGTAACAAAAATAGATCCGCACGTTTTAGTCATGTTTTCCATTGACCAGTGGCGGATGGTACCATATGGTACCTGATTCTTGATGCTTGCATATGCGTGTGCCGTGTCATTCTTCCAGATTCCCTCTTCTTTCTGCTTTTGGGCACACCCTCCAACCAGTTTTAAGAAGGGACCCCGCAAAAAGATTCCACCAAACAGCGGAGATGGCACCATCTGTGTCGTAGGGGTGTCGACCTCGTCCTCAGCTGTCTTCTTCGGCACTGGGTCCGGTCGAAGTCCACGAGCAGGTTGGGGCTTGGCTTCTTTGTCCTCCCTCTCCTCGCACTCGCAGCTCGTCCCCAGAACACGGGGTAACTCGAAACGGAGCTGGTGCTGACGGGGTCGTTGACCGTCCTTTTGTGGCGGATCGTTGTCCGTTTGGGTTCTGGTCGACTATGGGTCGACTGTTGGGGTTCCACGGGTGTTTTTATTGAAGATGCTTTTGGAACACCGGACATCTGGGTCGTTCAATCATGTTGAATCTAATTACAGTGTCATGGTGTGTTTTTTGAAAAAGTGGATTGTTTCAGGGAGAGTCCCAGGTTCGGATTCCAAACGAACGACTTTTTATTTGGCCCGAAGAGTTTCTCCTTCACAACACACTCACCTCCGTCACTTCAGCCTCAAGAGGTCGAGCCAAGCGCAGCAAGCGCAGCAAGTGCAGGCGGGCTTGGGGAGGATCTTGATGGTGGTCGCTTCGTTCTGACGTAATATCATTGACATCAGAGATGGGTCTGATTGAGCCTTCTGTATTTCTGCTGCATTTCCTCTCAAGAAACGAAATCCTTGAGGACTTCTCATGTAGCTCGAGCCATGCTGGGCTGAGGTGATTCTGCTTTGTTTCCCTTTGTTTCTCTTTGTCTCCCATGGCTCTTCTGGATGCTGGGCTTGCTTTGTCTCCCTTTGTCTCCAATGGTTTGACTGGATGCTGGGCTGAGATGATTCTGCTTCCGTTTGTCTCCCATGGCTCTTGTGGATGGTGGGCTGAGATGATTCTGCTTAGTGTCCCTTTGTCTTCTCTTGCTTCCCTTGGCTCGTGGACACTCGGCCAAAATGATTTCTGGCCATTCGATTCCTTTTGTATCCCTTTGTCTCCCATGGCTCTTCTGGATGCTGGACTGATATGATTCTGCTTGGTCTCCTTTTGTCTCGCATTGTTTCCCATGGCAAAGAAACAAGATGCCGACAAAACGGGTTCGTCAGGATAGAGAAACATGAAGCTGATGCTGCTATTTGGGGTCGCCCCTGTTGTTTTTCCGGGAAGCTTGACTGCAGGTAACAATGTAGAACAGGCTCTCCTTGCTGGATCAGAACTGGTACGGCGTGCAACACTTTGCGTGAGCCAAGCCTTCATCCATGGTGGTTGGGCTGACTGCACGTGAGTGATCTTTGACGCGGCGCCCGCCATGGCCGCGATGAGGGGCTTTGGAGACTACGTCTCCATGCTGCAAGCGTTTGCGAAATTCCAAGAGTCAGTTTAAGCTTCAACTGTTTAAACATACAGTCTCATTCAATATTTAAAAGTGCTTTCAAAGTCGTTTTACATATGCACACCTAAACGCTCTAAAAATGTTGTTGTTCGACAACTAGAACTATTTAATTTGATTCTATAGACTTTCAATACTACTCAGTATTTTCAGGCAGAAAAGTGAAATATGGTTTTTCCAATCTTAAAACTTTTCATAGGTGGAATCCTTCAAGTTTTTGAAGTAGTAACTTATAGTATCTTGCAGGGTTTTAGGAAATGACCACTATACACTAAAAAGTAGGGGATCTTTTACCTGAGGCGGACCGAAAAAGATAGAAGATAGACTTTTAAACATTTCTTGGCATGTTTGTCACCGCTTCAGGATCCACAAGCCGGGAAAAAGGAAACACACGCAACAGTAAAGGAAGAAAGAAAGTAGACAGAACGCAAGAAAGAAACACAGACATAAAGAAAAACAGAAAGAACGAAATAAATAGAATCCAGAAAAGAACGGAAGGAAACAAAGAAACAAATAAAGAAAGATAGAAAGGAAGAAAGAACGAGATGATCACTACTAAAGAGTAGGCTTTTTTGCACTTTAAACAGGCGGAAGCAAATAGAAGATAGACTTTTGCAGGTCTTTACGTAAGTATTTTATGTTATGTTTAACACTTTAGTTGAAGGAAGGAAGGCGAGGCGAGGCGAGGCGAGGCGAGGAGAGGAGAAGAGGAGAAGAGGAGAAGAGGAGAAGAGGAGAAGAGGAG